CCTTCTCCCCCCCCTTCTTCCTCTATTCTTCGTCCCTTCTTCCTCCATTATTCCTCCCCTTCTTCCCCCCTCCCCCTTCTTCCCCCCATTCTTCCTGCCTTCTTCCTCCCTTTTTTCTGCCATGTCCCAGATAATGCCGCACACTCGCCGGCCGCGCTCTTATCAACAACCGCCGCGCGCCTTTCTTCCCCGGGGGAACAACGTCAACAACATCAACAACATCAACAACATCAACAACAACATCAACAACAACATCAACAACATCAACAACATCAACAACAACATCAACAACATCAACAACAACATCATCAACAACATCAACAACATCAACAACATCAACAACAACATCAACAACATCAACAACAATATCAACAACATTAACAACAACATCAACAACATCAACAACATCAACAACAACATCAACAACAACGGCCGCGGTGTTCACACGGAGCGCCGATTAACGACAGCCTGGGAGTCTAGCGGCTGTAGCACAGGACCTCGGGATTTTGAAGAGGACCACCACACCACTTCACCCCACCCCCCCCCATATCATCATCACCTTCATCAGCCATGCTCAATCCGCTGCTGGATGAAGGCCTATCCGCATCCGCCGCCGCCGCGCCTCGCGATCGTGCGATGCCGCCACTTTAATTCGCCCTGGCACCGGCACGGCAGCAACGGACATCGCTGCTCAATATCGCCGGGTGAACTCTCCTCTCCATTGCGTTCCATTCCTTGCCTGCCACTCCGTGCTTAGTCTCGACCACGGGCCATCGCGGTTATGGTCAAGGGATGATGATGATGATGCTGATGGCGGTGATCGTGATAGCGACACATGGCGATGATTAGTTCCATAGTGGCACATCATTCTTGCCATCCATATCCAATCCACTGCTGGATGAAGGCTTCCCCCTCCCCCCCCCCCCCCCCAATCCGCTGCCACCTCTCACGATCCAGAATGTCACGATCCACCCAGCATCTGCACTTGAGCTCATTTAATCGCTCCATCTTCCCTCGGTGGAGGCCCTCTCCTCCGGTGCGTTCCATTCCTTTGGCTGCCACTCTGTGGTCAGTCTCGACCGCGGGCCTTCGTCCCTTCTAGACGTGACGCGTCCTGCCCAAGCGTGATGAGCTGTCATGCAAGACGCTGAACTGTTTCGCATAATTGCCTAGACATGCAAATGCTCAACCTTTAAAACATTGTAATGATAATGACGTTTATTTGCGTATATCGCGTCATCGCGCGCGCAAATTGCACCCCACAATCGCAGAGGAACCGCATGGGGGTAAGCTGGCAAGCACCAACAATTGCCCAAGCTCTGCAGGCCTCTACATGTGTTTTTTACAAGTATATGTTTCTTGGTTCTATCGGTAAAGTCACGTAGAAGGGGAACAATAAAATAACAAAAACATAAATAAAAAATTATCACGACGTTTCGACTGCAACACAAGCAATCATCATCAAGCAATCATCATCACACCTGATGATGATTGCTTGTGTTGCAGTCGAAACGTCGTGAGAATTTTACTTATTATTTATTATTATTATTTTATTGTTTCCCTTCTACATGACTTTACCGAAAGAATCAAGAATATGAATCCCTGCAGTCACGAAAGCTTTAAATAAAAAGTATATATATATTTTTTATTTATATATTTTTTTATAATTTTATTGTTTCCCTTCTACGTGACTTTACCGAAAGAATAAAGAATATGAATCCCTGCAGTCACGAAAGCTTTAAATCAAAAGTATATATTTTCATTCATAATTTTTTTTATTATTTTATTGTTTCCCTTCTACGTGACTTTACCGAAAGAACTAAGAATATGAATCCCTGCAGTCACGAAAGATTTAAATCAAAATTTAAGTATATTTTGCTTCAGCCAATTGATGAGAACGCATACACGTGGGAGGGAAGCCGGCACAACAGGAGGAACCCCCCCCCCCCTTCATAGCTGAAGTCTGCGAGTCCACGATGAGTCTGCGAGTAACCCAACGTCCCTCTCTGTCTGCTGCCCATCTCTTCTTTTTTACGATCAGAGGACGCGAGAAGTTGCTCGGTTTAGTCGGCACTTTGCTTCGTTCATCATTTCGTTTTTTTTTGCCATTGCTTTGCTTTATGTGCCCCCGCCCCACCCCCCGCCTTTTAAAATGAAATATTTTCCGTGCTTTCGATTTTGAAACAAAATCAATCTGTGCTACTTTTTTTCGTAGACACAAACATCAACACAAAGAATACGTTCTGCTCCTCTTCCTCCTTACCCCTTCCCTCTCTCTACCCCCTCTCTCTCTACCCCCTCTCTCTCCACCCTTCCCTCTCTCTACCCCCTCTCTCTCTACCCCTTCCCTCTCTCTACCTCCTCTCTCTACCCCCTCTCTCTCTACCCCATCTCTCTCTACCCCCTCTCTCTCTACCCCCTCTCTCTCTACCCCCTCTCTCTCTATCCCCTCTCTCTCTACCCCCTCTCCCTACTCTCTCGCCCTCTCTCTCTACCCCCTCTCTCTCTACCCCCTCTCTCTCTACCCCCTCTCTCTCTACCCCCTCTCTCTCTACCCCCTCTCTCTCTACCCCATCTCTCTCTACCCCCTCTCACTCTACCCCCTCTCTCTACCCCCTCTCTCTCTACCCCCTCTCTCTCTACCCCCTCTCTCTACCTCCTCTCTCTCTACCCCCTCTCCCTACTCTCTCGCCCTCTCTCTCTCTACCCCCTCTCTCTCTCTACCCCCTCTCTCTCTACCCCATCTCTCTCTACCCCCTCTCTCTACCCCCTCTCTCTCTCTACCCCCTCTCTCTCTACCCCCCTCTCTCTCTACCCCTTCTCTCTCTACCCCCTCTCTCTCTACCCCCTCTCTCTCTACCCCCTCTCTCTACCCCCTCTCTCTACCCCCTCTCTCTCTACCCCCTCTCTCTCTACCCTCTCTCTCTACCCCCTCTCTCTCTCTCTACCCCCTCTCTCTCTACCCCCTCTCTCTCTACCCCATCTCTCTCTACCCCCCTCTATCTACCCCCTCTCTCTCTACCCCCTCTCTCTCTCTACCCCCTCTCTCTCTAACCCTCTCTCTCTCTACCCCATCTCTCTCTACCCCTCTCTCTCTACCCCCTCTCTCTCTACCCCCTCTCTCTCTACCCCATCTCTCTCTACCCCCTCTCTCTCTACCCCTCTCTCTCTACCCCCTCTCTCTCTACCCCATCTCTCTCTACCCCCTCTCTCTTTAACCCCTCTCTCTCTCTACCCCATCTCTCTCTGCCACCTCTCTCTCTACCCCCTCTCTCTCTACCCCTTCTCTCTCTCTACCCCCTCTCTCTCTACCCTCTCTCTCTACCCCCTCTCTCTCTCTACCCCCTCTCTCTCTACCCCCTCTCTCTCTACCCCATCTCTCTACCCCCTCTCTCTTTAACCCCTCTCTCTCTACCCCATCTCTCTCTGCCACCTCTCTCTCTACCCCATCTCTCTCTCTACCCCCTCTCTCTCTACCCCCTCTCTCTCTACCCTCTCTCTCTACCCCCTCTCTCTCTCTACCCCCTCTCTCTCTACCCCCTCTCTCTCTACCCCATCTCTCTCTACCCCCCTCTATCTACCCCCTCTCTCTCTACCCCCTCTCTCTCTCTACCCCCTCTCTCTCTAACCCTCTCTCTCTCTACCCCATCTCTCTCTACCCCTCTCTCTCTCTACCCCCTCTCTCTCTACCCCCTCTCTCTCTACCCCATCTCTCTCTACCCCCTCTCCCTCTACCCCCTCTCTCTACCCCCTCTCTCTCTACCCCATCTCTCTCTACCCCCTCTCTCTTTAACCCCTCTCTCTCTACCCCATCTCTCTCTCTGCCCCCTCTCTCTCTACCCCCTCTCTCTCTACCCCCTCTCTACCCCCTCTCTCTCTACCCCCCCTCTCTCTACCCCCTCTCTCTCTACCCCCTCTCTCTACCCCCTCTCTCTATCCCCTCTCTCTACCCCCTCTCTCTCTACCCCCTCTCTCTACCCCCTTTCTCTCTACCCCCTCTCCCTACTCTCTCGCCTTCTCTCTCTCTACCCCCTCTCTCTCTACCCCCTCTCTCTCTACCCCCTCTCTCTCTACCCCCTCTCGCTCTACCCCCTCTCTCTCTCTACTCCCTCTCTACCTCCCTCTCTCTCTACCCCCTCTCTCTCTACCCCCTCTCTCTCTACCCCCTCTCTCTCTACCCCCTCTCTCTACCCCTTCTCTCTCTACCCCCTATCTCTCTACCACCCACTCTCTACCCCCTCTCTCTCTACCCCCCCTCTCTCTCTACCCCCTCTCTCTACCTCTTCTCTCTCTCTATCCCCTCTCTCTACCCCCTCTCTCTCTACCCCCTCTCTCTCTACCCCCTCTCTCTCTACCCCTTCTCTCTCTACCCCCTCTCTCTCTCTCTACCCCCTCTCTCTCTACCCCCTCTCTCTCTACCCCCTCTCTCTCTACCCCCTCTCTCTACCCCATCTCTCTCTACACCTTCTCTCTACCCCCTCTCTCTCTCTCTACCCCCTGTTTCTCTACCCCTTCTCTTTACCCCCTCTCTCTCTCTACCCCGTCTTTCTCTACTCGCTCTCTCTCTACCCCCTCTCTCTCTACCCCCTCTCTCTCTCTCTCTACCCCCTCTCTCTCTACCCCCTCTCTCTACCCCCTCTCTCTCTACCCCCTCTCTCTACCCCATCTCTCTCTACACCTTCTCTCTACCCCCTCTCTCTCTCTCTACCCCCTGTTTCTCTACCCCTTCTCTTTACCCCCTCTCTCTCTCTACCCCGTCTTTCTCTACTCGCTCTCTCTCTACCCCCTCTTTCTCTCTTTTCACGATCACAGGAATCAAGAAGATGCTCGGTGTAGTCGGCACTTTGCTTCGTTCATCATTTCGTTTTTTTTTTCAATGCTTTGCCTTATTTACCCCCCTCTCTCTCTACCCCACTCTCTCTACCTCCTCTCTCTAACCCCTCTCTCTACACCCGCCCACCTCTCCCTACTTTCTCGCCTTCTCTCTCTCGTCCCGGCAGCCGAGGCTCCCCACGGTGGCGGCGTCGCGGGGCTCGGCGCGGGACTCCGGGCCGCGTGTGCAGGAGTGGGGCTCGCCGTGCTCGCTCTACTGCTGGTCGCCCTCGCTCGCTGGAAGGCGGCGCAACTCTGGTTCTGACCCCGGCGCAAAGCGCACTCGCAGTGCCTCCTCTTTCCACACTCGCTCTCCCCTGTGTGTGTGTGTGTTGTGTGTGTGTGGCGGCCGGGCGTGGTGCTGGCCACCCACCCCCTAGTGCGCCGTGCCGGCCTACATAGGTGCTCGCTAACAGCACTTGCCCCAACAGTCTGTTAAAGGCTATGTGGGGGGAATCTTTGTCTTTGTGTGTGATGAGAGGTGCTGGCCACCCATCTGCTGGTGTGCCGTGCCCGGCCTTCATAGGTGCTACTCACGAACAGCACTTGCCCCAACTTTATGTTGAAGGCTATAAGGGGGATCTTTGTCTTGTGGTGGGGGGTGGGTGGTAGTGTCGTGAATGATTATCGCACTGCGCTACGAACCCGGCCACCCGAGTTCGATTCCCGCTCACGAGCACCAACACCGTGTGACGGCGATCTAAAACCGGTTTTGGGCCCTCCACTATGTCGACCCAGACCTCAAATGAGCGATGCGTAAACATGGCCACGAAGGAGACAAAGGCGGCCACGTGGTGTTGGCCCCCCACTCCCCCCCCCCCCCTCGCTACACGGTTGGGGTAGGGGCGGCCGAGGGGGGGGGGGGAGTCGTGACGTCAAGACTCCAGATCGATCCGAAACAAAACCAAATTCCGATCATCCGATTGATTTTCTGATTTTCTTTTTGCGGATTGGAATCTGATAAATCGGGGCTGAATCGCTCGCATTTGCAACCGATACTAAACTAAAACAATTTTATTTCACCAGGTCAGCCCACTCAGCTACTTTGCTCTTTTATCAGAAGCGAAGTAGCCGCGAATGATAGCTCAACGAAGTGGCTTATCATCATCATCGTGCGGAAATTTACAGCGGTCAAATACTCGAGACGCGTGACGTTGATTCCAAATGTGAAGTGACAAACCAGAGGACCCGGAGAAGAAATCCACGCGACCACCGCGAGCGAGCGAGCGAGAGAGAGAGAGAGAGACACGCAGACTTTTTTTTTATTGTACAACAGGCGTCATGGCCGGGATTGAACCCACCACCCCTCCTGTATACCACGCGAGGGAGTCAACATTTCGCACCCGTGAATTTTGCGCAGCTGCTCCCCGACACTCGCGCAAAACTGCGTCCCCCCCTCCCCCCTCCACCACCACCACCACCGTGCCATTCCACAGCCGCGTCTCCTAGCGCAGCAGCTCGACAGAGGTCTCTATTCACGGCTCGGCTGCGTGGAATGGCGTGCGCGCGCGTGCGCGTGCGCTGTTGCACAAAGGATGGTCTCTCTGGAAATGTCCCTTTTTTTTTACAAAAAAAAAGAAGAATCGTGGCATCGCGCGCGTGCGTCCGGCGTAACCAGGGTGTGCTTTTTTTTTCGGCCACGACGGGCTTAATAAATCGGAACTATTGTTTCACAGAGAACACCCCTCTCCTCCCCTCGCTTCTCCCCCCCCCACCACCACCACCACCCCCAACACACCGTTTAATGTTTCCAAGGGCGCTGTGAGAACGCGCCGCAGATATCGGCTCGCGCTCACGATGATGAATGCATTGGGCCATTAATTTGGAGATGAACGGAAAACCAAAGAATGTGCACCGCTCATTTTGATTGTGCGGGTTTTGTTTTAGATTTAGTTGTTGTTGTTGTTGTTGCAAGTTTGTCCCTTGTTTTACGTCTCGTAACTTTTTTTTGCCAAGTGCTACAGAGCGAATTAGTCATAATAATGATCATCATCATCATTATAATTGTAACTTTAAATGCCCCGTCGCACAATATTCGCTCGCTCTTGTGGAGAGAGAGAGGACGACCCAGAGGCTTCAGGAGGAGGATCCACAGGCGAGCGGGAAGGCAGCACAAGCAGCCAGGCGATGAGTAGCCGATGCAACCAAACAATTGCCCAAGCTCTGCGCCCCTTTATATATATCACGGTGTCATCGGCCAAACAAAACAATGCGTGTACGTGTGAGGAAATCGCAGCACCCTGAATAAACCCACGCATGCGAGGGGGCAACACTCGATTCCAATCGGATGTAACACAACCGCCTCGACGCCCACGTCAAGGGGAGTTTCGCAACAGAGGTGCGGTGATTCACCAACCCTCGCCTGTAGCCTCCACAGCGCTGCATTTTACCGGCCACGTGCAGCGCAGCCACGACCACCGCCCGACTCACGATCAGCCAGGGGCGAGAATAAATCTCAGGTCGCCGGTTCCTTCGCGCAGCGCGGCTGATGGGTACGAAACAAATCTATTTGACAACAAATTACGCGAAAAGACGCATGTTGGAAGCACGCGTTATTTATTTTGCCGCCAGCTATTTCTCCCGCAACGGGCGCCCGACTAAGGCCCCGTGTATCACAGGAAGGGTCAGAGGCTACATGTATGAGGATCGGGCAATTCACCAGCATTGGTTCAACGAATCGCGACACTGCTGTTGAGACACCGAACGTCGAAATCGGTCGATGGTTTGCCTGGTGATGAAGCAGCGCAACTGATAAGATGCACTCCCGGAAGGCCGCGTGGTCGATCGCTTCTGGAGGAATTCTATATTTTTCCCAGTTATTTACATTCTGGCAGAGGGGCTCTTGATGGTTATATATCGCGTTACAATAAACACCGACTCTCATAGGCTTGGAACATTTCGCGTACTGTAAAAAAAAATAATAATACAAATCCAATTAAAATTAAACATTTTGTGTGTGTGGAAAATAACAACCACACGTATATTTATATTTCACGATCCCAGGCAGCGCTGTTAGACCCATCGCAATTCCCCCCTTGCACACGAACGCACAGACATGACAATTAAAACCGAGCAGAAACATATGGGATTTTAACGCGCGCGGAAAGGGGATGTGGGCGGGGGGGGGGGGGTGGGGGGGGGGGCAATTGAGAGCATTTGGGGATTTTGGAAGAGGCTTTTCCAGGGCCAGCGTGAGGAATTGGCCATGGGGGGATTCCTCGCAGCCATCCGCGTGCCGCTCGCTCTCTTCCCGCCGAAGAAAAATCCGAGGCAGCAACACAGCCGCTGCTTCCCCGTGACCTTGCGATGTTCATCGTCGTCGTCGTGAGCAGCAGCAGCAGCAGCAGCATCATCATCATCATAGATCATCATCAGCCATGATTTATACATCGCCGAATGCACGCACCACACCTCCAAATCCTTCGCAGCTCACCGCTAATTGCAATTTGCGAGAATGTGTCTTTCAACTTACCCTCGAGCTGAAACGGTAAACAATAACAATGATTATTTCAGTTTTATTTGATTATTTTTTCTACCTACGTGACTTTACCGAAAGAACCAAAGAGTATGGATTCCTGCAGTAACGGAAGCTTCAAATCAAGTTTTGAATAACAATAATTGCCTTGTAGATAAATGGTTACACACGTGACGATTGCATTTGTTTGGCTTCGCTTGGATTGGTGGAGGGAATCACGACACAAAATCGGCCACGTCATTTTCGTGGCCTAACCCAACAAAGACATTTCGAGTCGTGACACGTGGCCGCGACAGCCTACACGTGCTAGCTCTTGCGCGAACGATGATTCCATTGCTCCATTGCCCGCAGTTGGGCGTCTATCTCTCGGGCGCCTTCCCTCTGTTGGCTGCCTCACTTCGTCGTGTGTCTCGATCGCTCTTCGCGAGGCGTCCTGCCCGATCCCGCTTCAGAATCAGAAAATCATGAATCAGAAAGGGGTTTTATTCGCCATGAAAGTTCGCACAGACAAGGAATTTACTTTGGCGGGAAGGTGCATACATTCGACATATCGTAAACTTAAATATCAAATAAGTGGCATACAAGTCTAAACTATACTAAAGGTACAAAGTCTAGCTAACACTAAGGGGCTAAAGTATGTCAAATTTTGAATAAATATTGAATGTAAAGTAGCTATAAGATACAATCTAAAAATAAAATAAAAATATAAAAATATCTAAAAATAAAAATAAATACACTTCCTTTCAGAGTCCGACAGGGTGCCGCGGTGGGGAGATGTTAGCTCCCTCGCCCGGTATGCAGGAGGTCATGGGCTCCGATGTCTATCCTGACCGGCTGTATATTTTGTGTTGGCATGTGTATCGCTCCGTGGTCACGTGGGGGTTTCCCTCCACATTTGGAAACATGCGTTGAAGAGTATTTGGCTGCTGTATACTGCAACACGATTAGCCACTTCGTTGAGCTGCCATTTGTGGCTTCTGAAAAAGAGCTACATAGCTCAGTGGGGGCCTTACCCGGTAACGTTAAAACAATGTTTGGTTTTAGTTTAGTCTCGAGCTGCCGTAAGCTCTCTCGGCCACGTGGTTTCTAGACCTTGTCTCTTTTGCTTCCAAGCGTCCACCTCCGCACGCACGCTCATTCACTCTTCCCGCCGCTGGGTAGCTTGTGCGGGGAATTGAGTCGTTCATTAAGATCGAGGAGCTCCCCGCAACACGCAGAGCGAAAACGTCGGGGCACCGCGCACAAAGCGACACCACCACGCGCGGCAGAGCTACGCAGCAGCACGAACGCGAAGCGTTTGCGCAGTGACGTGTTGAAGTCAGTTTCACGCGGAGTAGTATTGGTGGTAGGGGCTTTCGCGACCAATGTTATCCATAATAAGAGGGGTATTTTTTGGGGGGGTGGGAGGGGGGTGTTAGAACGCTTAAATACACACGTGTCGCCTGCTGAGGCTGATTGTGATTACCGGCGAAACGGCGTGACCCCCCACCCCCCACCCCCCACCCCCCAACCCCCGTCGCCTCCCTCATAGTGCCGTGGGAGTGAGACTCCGAGTTCTGTGCGCGCCATCTGCGTCACAACACAGCTGGAAGGGAGATGAAGTGACAGAGGAGGACGAACGTAGATTTGTGTTTTTTGTGTAAGGGGCCGTCCATAAATGACGTCACGCACCTGGGGCGGGGGGCGGGTCAGACATTTGTGACGATGTGTGACGAGGTGGGGGGGGTTGAGAAATGTGACGTCACATCAAAATGCGCAACTTTAAATAAATATAGACAACACGTTCTACTCAATTAAATAGACTTTTTTTTATAAATGTTTTCTCCTACAACATCAGAGTGCAGCGCCATTAAATACGCACTACAATGACAATAGTTTAAAGCGATTTGAAGCATGTTTTTTTGGGGGGGGGCAGAGCTTTGTGACGTCATATTTGAGGGGTGTCTGACTTTTTATGACGCCGTGTGACGAGAGGGGGGGGGAGGGGGTTAAAAATCGTCTAAAATCGCGTGACGTCATTTATGGACGGCCCCTAATACCAAATCGACCCCACCACTTCCCCCCCCCCCCCCCCACATCATCCAGCGCTGTGGAGACAGCAGCGAGGGTTGGTGGTTCACACGCAGATGGGTTGTGAAACTCCTCTCCCCGTAGGTGTCGAGGAGGAGCCCTATACCCTGGCTATCAAGGAGAAGGGCTGTGGAGCAGTGTAGCGTGAACTCCATCTGTTGCATCAGTATAGGACGGAGTATTGCCCTCTCGCACGTGACGGACTTCTACGGGAGTTACAATTCCCCCCCCCCCCTGCGTGTAAACACTCATTAGTTGTCCAGTAACACCTTCATATACAGAGGACCGCAGAGCTTGGGTGGGAGGCGAGTGGAATTTGACGCCGGCTCTTAACTAACACTATTTATTATTATTATTATTTTTTCACCAGGCAAGGCTCCGCTGAGCTGTGTGGATTTTTTATCGGAAGCGACCTGGCCACAAATGACAACTCGACGAATTGGCGGCTCACCACGATGTGCGTGGGAATTTACAGCTGCCAAATAATCTTAAACGCGTGACGTTGTTTCTAAATTTGGATGGACAAAAAAAAACCAACCCGGTGGACCCGAGGAAAAAAAATAAATCCACGCGACCACGGGGAGAGAGAAAGACACGCAAACTCCAAATATACAGCAGCAGCAGGCGCCAGGGTCGATATCGAACCCACGATCTCCTGTACACCAGGCGAGGTAGTTAACATCTCCTAGTCACCGTGATGATGAGAGAGAGAGAGAGACACGCAAACTCCAAATATACAGCAGCAGCAGGCGCCAGGGTCGATATCGAACCCACGATCTCCTGAATACCTGGCGAGGTAGTTAACATCTCCTAGTCACCGTGATGATGAGAGAGAGACTCGCAAACTCCAAATATACAGCAGCAACAGGCGTCAGGGTCGATATCGAACCCACGACCTCCTTTATACCAGGCGAGGTAGTTAACATCTCCTAGTCACCGTGATGATGATGAGAGAGACGCAAACTCCAAATATATAGCAGCAGGCGTCAGGGTCCGGATCGAACCCACGACCTCCAGTACACCATGAGAGGTAGTTAACATCTCCTAGCCACCGTGATGATGATGAGAGAGCGACTCGCAAACTCCAAATATACAGCAGCAGGCGCCAGGGTCGATATTGAACCCACGACCTCCTGAATACCAGGCGAGATAGTTAACATCTCCTAGTCACCGTGATGATGATGAGAGAGAGACTCGCAAACTCCAAATATACAGCAGCAACAGGCGCCAGGGTCGATATCGAACCCACGACCTCCTTTATACCAGGCGAGGTAGTTAACATCTCCTAGTCACCGTGATGATGATGAGAGAGACGCAAACTCCAAATATACAGCAGCAGCAGGCGCCAGGGTCGATATCGAACCCACGACCTCCTGTATACCAGGTGAAGGAGTTAACATCTCGCCAGCGTGGCGCCCTGTGCCTGGCAGCTGCCTTCCCGCTCGCCTCTCATTCCTTGCGCCTCCGAGCCGTCTTCGCTGTTCAAGAGCGAGGCAAATGATTATACATTTTTCATTATCCGCTGCCTCTGCTGGCTTGATTATCGTGCGCCCCACATAGCCCAGCGACGCCTGCAAACCCGTGTTGTGACGTGTTGGCCACGATGACCTCTCGATGACCTCTTTATTTCCGTGTGTGTGTATATATAGCTAACATATAAATTAAACAATGCAATTTAATTAGCGAAGACAACCACACTGAATCTAAAAACAAAACGTTCAGGAGACTTCCTGCCACATTTGGACGTTCGTTACATTGAGCCTTCGACACGTCACGTGGCCTCAAAGTGCACCTGGCCTGGCACAGGCGCCGTGGTGACGTCACCGTCACTTGGCGGCGAATGGCGCGGCTATTTTCTATTGGTTTTCTTTTGGCTATGGGAAGAAACCGGAGAACCCGGAGGAAACCCATGCGGGACCAGGGGGAGAAGAGAATACAAACTGCACACGGAAAGGTTCCTGAGCTAGATACTCGATCCGAAAACGTGGCCGTCACGGGTAGCGACGTCACAACAACCGCACATTTCCCGCCCCCCCCCACCCCCCCTAAAAAATAAAAAGTGGCATCGCGTGGCATTGGGCGATTGCTGCCTTTGTTAGCACGGCGAACACCCGTGAAATGATTACACGGCGTAAGAGGTCGGATAATTATTGTTCTTTGGGTGTTTCGGTACAAGTCGCGTTGATAGGTTCAATGAAAATAACAAACAAAAACTACGACGTTTCGATCGCAACACAATCGGTCGGCGCGGGCAGCGAGCCACATTCATTCGTGACGACCGCTTGTGTTGCGATCGAAACGTCGCAGTTTCTGTTGTTATTTTTTGTTGTTATTTTCTTTCAACCCATCCACGCGACTTCACCGAAAGGCCCAAAGAATATGAATCCCTGCAGTCACGAAAGCTTCTAAGTCAAGGTCGGATATTATTCTTAAGAATATGAAATCGTAAGGCTTTATTTTTGCTTGAAAGTCACCCTCAGTGTCACACACCTCGCCTGCTTTGTATGCAAACCCCAAGGCAAGCACCCAACAAACAAAGCAAAGCAAAGGGGGGGGGCGGGGAGGGAGGGATCGAGACAATTGTAATTCATTCCCGAAAATAATCAAGACGGCTGTCAAATAATAATTGAAAACAAATTAATGTCGTGGGCAGCGAGCCACATTAATTCATATCTTGCGGGGTCACGAGAAGTTTGGCCAAATCCATCGCTCGGCTTTCCCTTTGTCGTGATTAAATGTAACCCGTGCGTTGGAGCGACTAATGATGATGGCACCGCGAGGATGGGAAATCGAGGTCGGTGGTGAGGGGGCGAAGGGGAGGGCGGAAGGGGGTCGACGGTGACGTTCCTGGTCCAAAAAAATACTTAACGGGTTCCTTGACAGCGAACTTTAAGATTGAATGATGTCAGGTCACGCCTTCTATGAAAGCACACAGGGCGAGAGGGACAATCGCGACCACCTCGGCCCCGATGTCCTTCCCGAGTGAGATTTCCAGCGGCACCGGCGCCTCCACGCACGAAGGAGAGCAGAGCGGGGGCCGTGGCCACCGGTAGTTTAATTTTAATGCGATGACGGGCGGTACGGGATTGGGGGGGGGGGTCTGTTACATTTTGATTTGTTTTCGTTTTCCGCGTGGAGTTTTCGTGGCCGCTCCGGCGACCCCCAAGTGTACGTCCAAGTTCGGAACCCGCCCTTGGTTGATCTTTTCCTTCGCTCGACGTTTCGCCACGCGCCACTTTGAACTGCAAGGCATCTGCGAGGGTGGGGAAGGGGACCGGATCGGCCGCTGAACGGCACGGGGGCGGTGGGACATTGGGGAGGGAGTTCGTCTTGTCCCGGCTTACTCGCAGTGGACGCCACGGTGGCTATGAGATGTTAACTACCTCGCTTAGTATGCAGGGGGTCGTCGGTTCGATTCTGACCCTGACGCCTGCTGCTGTATATTTGGAGTTTGCGCGTATATCTCGCCGTGGTCGCGTGCATTTATCTCCGGGGTCCTCCGGTTTGTCCCTCCACTTTTAGACACGTGCGTTGAGATTATTTGGCTGCCACTGTAAATTGCCACGTGATGAGCCACTTGGTTGAGCCATCATTGGCGGCCAGGTCGCTTCTCAAAAAGAGCCACACGGCTCAAGGGTTCCTTACCCCTCGGTAAAACACAAAAAATAAATGTTTCAGTTTAGTTCGTTTCATCTCCGAAAATTCTGAAAATACCGCCACAGCGGCACACCGGTTTGAGAGTCACTGCCCTCGACGGCAAACGTCACCGGAAGAGTTGTCAAGCTCACCGATTGGATTGCGTGGGACCAACAACCGCTTGCGTGTATAGCCTAGGCTACGGCAAACGTGCAGCAGTGGCACGCGTGACCAACAGCAACAGCAGTCTTGTTCACCAAGGCCTTAAAACTGGCATCAGATTCGCCTGATATATGCCTCGGGCTTCTTGATGCATTCTCGGTGGCCTAGCCGTGATGAGGTCGCACACGTGAGTGACTTAACCGGCACGCGGTCATATCTGAATAAGTTTGATGTATAAATGATGAAGTATGGTCAACCCCCCCCCCTCCCCCACCACGCCTTCCACCCGCAATGACGTGATTTTCTTTTTAAGTGCATGTGTGGGGAGCGGTGGCGTAGCGGTTAGGGTGCTGCGCTACGATACCCGGCGACCCGAGTTCGATTCCCACTCACGGGTCGACACCAGTGACCAATTATCTCAGCCTCAATTGAGTACCTGGTGTGGAGTGTAAATTTCGCCGCTGCTGGCAACCCAGCCCCCTCGTGCGCCGCTAGCAGCACTTGCCCCAACAGTCTGTTGTTAACTGCCACACGGGGAATCTTTGTCTTTGTCTTTGTCGCAGCTCGTGCAGGGGACTCGCCCGAAGGACGAGTCAGCAGGAACCAGGGTTAACGATGACATTCCGCGCCGACGACGTGAAGACGGAGAGTGAAGGGCGCCCTCCGCCACCCACGGAGACGGAGTGATTCGTTACCCCCACCCCCTCACCGCCCCTTCCCCCCTCAGTGACGTCACACGTCGTCACCAGACACAATCAGCGACGCCTGTGACGTCACAGGCTCCGGCGCCTCGACTGCACTCGAGGCCTCGTGCTGCTGTGACAAACACACGTGCTTATTGTTGCATTATTATTCTTATTGTTGGCTCAGCAAAGTTTCGAGTTTATTTTGTTCATCGACTGTAATGTCATCGACCATTATTGGCAGTAACGTTGGCGCAATGCGTCATTGATTGTTTTTTTTTTTTATGGGTTAGGCCACGTAATCATCTGACCAAAAAATTATGCGCCGAAAATGTACGTGTTCAGTTTAGCATCAGTCTTAGCGGCATCATCATCATCATCATCATCAGTAATTTCAGTCTCAGCAACATCGGTAACGTCGTCAGCGTCATCGGCGCCAATCGGATCATCGGCATCGGTAGCGCCGACATTCCCGAGTACCGACATCAGTTGCCATAACAACTGAATCAGTCGCAATGACGTCGTCGGCATCAGCGGCGCCTTGAGCGCCGTCATGGCCTCACGCGCCGCTTCGCCCATACACGCACGTGACGCACAGACTCTGCGGCTCTCTACCTGCGCCAACTACGCCCCGCGCCAACAAGCGTCACACTTCCATCGCGGCCGAGAGGCTGACTTTTGGGGCAATCGACACCTGGGCCCTCGAGGGCGATCGATGTTTTTAAACAGACGGAACAAACCTCCCCGCGAATATCTCGCTCGCCCTGTCAAGATCAACCCGCCAGCCATTCTTTTCCTTTTAGCCCCTCACACTATCCTCCGCTATTCCCCTCCCACCCGCGATGCCCCCCGAGAGGCTCTCGAACCAAATCCGAAACTCTACGACTGCAAATACTCACTTGGGTCTCCGAGCATGCCAGCGTCTTTGAGCATTGGGGTTGACAAACTTGCAGGCCGTGGTTTCTCAACCCGCTGATTTGCCTCCATCCATTCCGGTGCTTTGCCTTCGTCGCTTAATTTGGGCTCTGACCCCCCCAAACAAACCTTGCAAACTCTCACTCTATTACAAAAAAGCCTCCATCAAGCGTCTGCAACCTCCTGCAGCAGCTCGTCCTTGCCCAAGACAAGGATAACGTCACATACTATACTATACACTACACTATACACTACATTACATACTATACACTACACTATACACTGCACCATGTGATCTCAACCTGGGGGGTACGCGGACCCCCGGGGGTACGTGAGGTGATTTATAAACGTGTCAAGCTATATTATACATGAGTCGTTACATACAATACTATACACTACACTATACACTACACTATACACTGCACCATGTGATCTCAACCTGGGGGGTACGCGGACCCCCGGGGGTACGTGAGGTGATTTATAAACGTGTCAAGCTATATTATACATGAGTCGTTACATACAATACTATACACTACACTATACACTACACTATACACTACACTATACACTACACTATACATTGCATCAGTTCTCAACCTGGGGGGTACGCGGACCCCTCGGGGTCACGTGGCAATGTCCCAGGGGGTTCGTGAGGTGATCTATAAATGTGTGAAATTCTATTATACGTGAAAAGTCATTGGTGAATAATCATGTATGAATCTGCCAATATAAAATAACGACGAAAACATTTAAATCCATATGGTAACCTAGACCGATATAGAAGACCTTTTCTGAACTCATTGATTGTGAACAATGAACGTCACTCAACGCCGAGCGTCCGTTGATTTTTTTCGTTTGTATTCGCTTGCAGTTATTGGCTAATTAGGATAGCTCACTACATTGACAATTTGTGCAAATATTGACGCTCATCCTTTCCACGTTAATTTCTCAGAGCAACGTTGGGTCAGGCAAGAGGTGGTGGGGGGGGTACTCGGTTGAAATAAAATTCAACAATCGGAGGGAGGGGGGTTCACAGTAGTCAAAGAAGGTTGAGAACCGAGTGGGATCGATAAATTCGTCCCCCACTGTCTCCCTCTCGTTCCCGAAGCCGTTGCATGGCGGGCCAGGCAAGACGTCAGTGGTTGATCGATCAGCCGGGTTGCTCGCTAATTTCCGCTCTCCCGCTCGCCACGCGCTTCCGAAGACGGGATGAGCCGCCGTCCGTTCCCCGTGACGCTCTTCAAAGTTTAAATTGGTAAAGGCGCAGCCCTGAAATTGCTTGTTGTTCCGCCACCGTCTGTGACAGGGCCTCCCATGTGGGAGAGTGTTTCGGCCTACCCGTGCACACTGGCCAGGCTTGTGGCCTAAAACAAACAAAAAGGCCGAGGCAGGAGGATCTATCCACAAATCTGGCTGTCGCCTTATGATGCTGGGTTGTAATTACCGGCGAAACGTCGTGCTCGAATTAAAAATGTTGCGGGGGTTTACTCTCCAACACACCGGTGTGCTGAATTAGTAACTAATTCATTAGACCTCCTTTGCCAGTACCAAAAGATATGAATAGGGGTTTTTCCCCTTTTTTTTCTGGCAACAAAACTGAAATCTTTTTTACAAGGATTCATGTCTGCATTGACCACAATACCTGCAGTCAAAATGCAAACAAAAAACATAATATGATAATATATGATGCATTGTCCTTGAAACTGATTGAAAGCCGTCCCTTGGTGTGGACCAATCAGTTTCAAGGACAATGCATATATTATCATAGTATGTTTTTTTGTTTGCATTTTGGCTGCAGGTATTGTGGTTAATGCACACATGAATCCTTGTAAAAAGGGTTTCAGTTTTGTTGCCAGAAAAAAAGGGGAATAACCCCTATTCCTAGTAACTAATTGGCACGTTTTCTTAACTTGACAAACCTTACTCATTGGCTGTGTCGGGTAGTGGAAGGTTTAACGATACACTTATTTTTTATTCGATGTGGGGAAAAAAAAAAAAAAAACCTCATGGTTGACGAACAACACGTCCGTCAATAGCAATTGTGTGTGGCCTTCGAAGAAGCGTGTGTAATAGACGACGTTTCGAACAATGAGGCCTTCGTGGCAACATAAACAGAGGCCAGAGAGATAGCGTTAACGAAGTGTGATGCCTGCACTTGACACCGCGGAGCCTAATGGCAATTGTTTTTAGCCACTCTGGCCTCTCTATTCATGTGCTGTGGAAAAGGGCCATTGATCGAACCGTCGACTATTTTTGTTGTATGGCCACACGCACACTCAACGTTGTTGTTGTTTTCCGAGTGTTCATTGTGCTCGTGGTACCAGTGCCAAACGCTGCAGCAGCATCACTCAATTATTTGTACATCTGGCAAGACGTGTTGAAAACGGTACCCACACTTTACCCCACTGTAGGTGACTTGCCAATCGATTTTGCAGCGGTGTAACCAATTTAAAGAAATTCGTTTCAGCTGCTGCGCAGGGAGGTGAAGTTGAACCGTCGATTTCTGGCTTGCAAGTCGATCTTGCTGCTTATCGTTGCACCACTGTGGCAAGCAAGCACGTAAAAAAAAGTATTTTTTCGCAGGCTAACTTTACCAGAATTATTTTACGGTTCGCATTGAATGCGAAAAAAAATGTGTAGCCATTAACGAGATGTAAAGCGTTGTAAAAAAAAAAAAGCAAAGTGTGAATAAATGAGTTAGCGATAATTAGCCTAACTTATGATTACAGTCGCTTGCACAGTTACAGCCCCGGGAATTCAGCATCTTAAGGGTTATCCATTCGGCCCTTTGAGCGCAATCTGTGCGTATTAAAGCTCTTTCGGCAAAAAAAATACCCAAAATTAAAGAAAATAAATTAAAATAAAAGTCAGAGGGATTTACTGCTCGCGGCCCTGCAGAGCCAGTGGCTGAACCTTCGACTTTGCTGTGATAGTTGAAGTTGATTGAATTTGTTACACGGATGATGATGATGATGATAACGATGGTCAGAATCGGAATATGTATTTATGCTGAAGGAATCCGAAGAGCTACAACGCTTTTTTCACAGATGTCCCGTGCAGCCAGTTGCCCGGCTATTTTACACGGGAGCTCCTTGGTGCTGGGTGAGCACAGCAGCAACAACAACAACAAAGACACCAACAGCAACATTGCTGAGAACGAGTTGCAGCAGGGATTTTCAGGAATATTGTATTTTACGGTCATAAAACGACAACACGCGAAGAATCGACAACAACAACAACAAAAAGCAGTGCAAACATCGTGTGAGCGGGTGGGCGAGTCCACTCCATAGGACACCCACGATTGATTAACCCAACAAAGCGGTATCTATTCTATCGACCCCACCGGAGGGAGGGACGATGGGTCGAGTCGTCTACAATATATATTTTTTTTATTTAAAGCTTTCGTGACTGCAGTGATTCATATTCTTGGTTCTTTCGGTAAAGTCACGTTGAAGGGAAACAACAAAATAATAAAATATATATATAAAACAATAAAATTCTCACGACGTTTCGACTGTAACACAAACAGCCATCATCACCTGATATATTTTATTATTTTGTTGTTTCCCTTCAACGTGACTTTACCGAAAGAACCAAGAATATAATATAATATATTTGACTATTTTTTTTAAATTGTTTAACCAGTTAAGGCCCACCGAGCTCTATAGTTCATTGTCAGAAGCGACCTGGCCACGAATGATAGCACAACGAAGTGGCGGTTCTAAATGTGGAGGGGGGGAAATAAAAAAACGGAGGTCCCAGTGAAAAAATCCGCGCGACCACGGCGATTGAGACGAAATAAACTCAAAATCTACAGCAGGCGTCAGGGTCGGGGTCGAACCCACGAGCCTCGTGCATACCAGGCGAACGCGTTAACAACACCACCACCACCACCACCCCTCTCGCCCACCTCCAGACTCCAACCAGGATTTGAACTCGCAACCCTTGTCCCGATCGCCAAGCCGCTCGCACTGCCGCTTGAGACACCCGCGGCGGTGGCCGTTGGGCAACGCGAGCGGCGCCTCGCGAGTCCGGGACGCGGCGGCTGAATTCACGGCTGGGGGGGGGGGAGGCGCGGACTGCACGTCCGCTGGCGCCGTCCTCGTAGCGGCTCGCTGCCGCTGCTGCTGCTCCTGCTGCTGCTGCTCCTCCTGCTGCTCCTGCTGCTGCTGCTCCTCCTGCTGCTCCTGCTGCTGCTGTTCCTTCTGCTGCTCCTGCTGTTGCTCCTGCTGCTGCTACTGCTGCTCCTTCTGCTGCTCCTGCTGCTGCTGCTCCTGCTACTGCTGCTGCTGCTCCTGCTGCTGCTCCTGCTGATGTTGCTCCTGATCCTGCTGCTCCTTCTGCTGCTACTGCTGCTGCTGTTGCTCCTGCTCCTGTTGCTCCTGCTCCTGCTGCTGCTCCTGCTGCTCCTTCTGATGTTCCTGCTGCTGCTCCAGCTGATGCTCCTGTTGCTGCTGCTCCTGCTCCTGTTGCTGCTCCTTCTCCTTCTGCTGCTCCTGCTGCTGCTCCTGTTGCTCCTAGTATTAATGTGCGCGGGAACGGAAATTGCACCCGCGGGCACATTTCTGTTGTGTGTTTTATAATGGGACACCGTTTTCAGCTCGAGATAACCGGTCAAGGGCATTGTGGCTGCGATGTGCCCGGGATTTGCACAAAGTGTGCGGCAACAGTAGTGGAGGAGCACCACATATATTTTGTGCGCTGCATTTTGACTCGCATTTAAATGTTATTTTGTGCACTTCGCAGCAGCGGGGGAGTTTGGCTCGTATTCAAATGCGCTTCCGCGGCCGTATAGAACGCTCTCCCGTTGGGTATTAGGAAGCCACTGTAAGCTATGCACTGCTAAATAATCTAGATTGAATGCTCATTTCTTTATAACTGCGTTTTGTGTGCAGTTTGGTGTCATTCTCCCCGCACCTCCGATTAGCAGGGTTGGCTACGTACGGTGCGAAAGAAGTCCCAAACATACATACACACATCTACGTACAAAACAAAAAGTAGAAAAATCATCGACGGACACGCATCACCCGGAATGCGTCGGATGTCGGAGGCTAAGCAGGATGTCGAAGCCTGGGCAGGGGTCGAACTGTAGCCCGCCACGCGTGCGGCCACACCTGGGCAGGGGTCTAACTGTCGCGCGCCACGTCCGGCCACACCTGGGCAGGGGTCTAACTGTCGAGCACCACGCGTCCGGCCACACCTGGGCAGGGGTCTATCTGTCGAGCACCACGCGTCCGGCCACACCTGGGCAGGGGTCTATCTGTCGAGCACCACGCGTCCGGCCACACCTGGGCAGGGGTCTATCTGTCGAGCACCACGCGACCGGCCACACCTGGGCAGGGGTCTAACTGTCGCCCGCCACGCGTGGCGGCCACACCTGGGCAGGGGTCTAACTGTCGCCCGCCACGCGTGCGGCCACACCTCGGCAGGGGTCTAACTGTCGAGCACCACGCGTCCGGCCACACCAGTGGTTAGAAGCTCTCGTGCGGTAGCAGAGGTCGGCTACGCCACCCTTGACCCTGCGCCCCACCAGTTCGCCTTCGCCGACCCGCACTGTCCAGCGTGGTGAAGTATGGTCAGATATGACGTCACCGCCTACAAAGGCCGTGGGTTGCGGGGAGGCTTGAAGGCTCCCATCCAGCGGTGGATCGACGCAATGGGCTGCACGCGTGTGGAATAATAAAACGTGCAAATTACATCGACGTTCATAAGTGCGTAAAATTATTGCACATATTGTAAAATCCTTCAAAACTTGTACGAATTAGTTAACAAAAAAACTTGCGTTTACTTTGTTTCATTATAATTAATATTATATACTTTTTGACCTC